ATTTCAGAAAAAAAATAATTAAATTTTTTAATTAAAAACAACAGTACTTTAAAACAGTAGCTTTAAAAGCCAATATCTGAAAAAACTGTTCAAAAGTGTCCTCCTTCACACTTATTATTGGCAATGTTCAAAAGTGATGTCTTTCAACCATGCTAAATTTTTTATTGAGTAATGCTGAAAGGCAGTCTTCTCCGTTTAGCCAGCGCTTTCATGCTTGCCCACACGCCTGCAAAAACTTTGGCAAGCCCATAAAAAAGCGCTTGCCAAAAAAATAAAAGCATTTTGTCTTAGATTGCAATAAAAATTTTTGTGTTAATTTGCGCAAATTTTATAAAAAATGGCTTTTTATTTAATTATTCTATTTAACATTAGTTCAAAGCATTCTTTTTGCTATTTTTATTCTAATTTAAATAGCAGAAAATTTAATTTTTTAAATCGTGCAGGCTAAATTAAAAATGACAATCCTGACTCAAAATTTTAAATGGAGACTGGATAAGATAAACCTGTAATTTTATTTTCTAAATATTTGTAGTTCCTGAATTATGGTCAAACATTTGATCTTTTAACACTTAAAATTATTGGGATTTTGTGATTTTAAAATTAAATTTTTAGGCAATGAGGTATGCATCTTTTTATATTAGGGAAGTATAGATAAAACTTTCAAAAAAAAAAAAAAATTAGGAAAACTCTTTCCTTTTGTTTCTTAGGAAAACTCTTCCTTTTGTTTCTTAGGAAAATTCTTCCTTTTGTTTCTTAGGAAAACTCTTCATTTAGTTTCTTAGGAAAACTCTTCCTTTTGTTTCTTAGGAAAACTCTTCCTTTTGTTTCTTAGGAAAACTCTTCCTTTTGTTTCTTAGGAAAACTCTTCCTTTTGTTTCTTAGGAAAACTCTTCCTTTTGTTTCTTAGGAAAACTTTTCCTTTTGTTTCTTAGGAAAACTCTTCATTTAGTTTCTTAGGAAAACTCTTCCTTTTGTTTCTTAGGAAAACTCTTCATTTAGTTTCTTAGGAAAACTCTTCCTTTTGTTTCTTAGGAAAACTCTTCCTTTTGTTTCTTAGGAAAACTCTTTCTTTTGTTTCTTAGGAAAACTCTTCCTTTTGTTTCTTAGGAAAACTCTTCCTTTTGTTTCTTAGGAAAACTCTTCCTTTTGTTTCTTAGGAAAACTCTTCCTTTTGTTTCTTAGGAAAAGTCTTCCTTTTGTTTCTTAGGAAAACTCTTCCTTTTGTTTCTTAGGAAAACTCTTCCTTTTGTTTCTTAGGAAAAGTCTTCCTTTTGTTTCTTAGGAAAAGTCTTCCTTTTGTTTCTTAGGAAAACTCTTCCTTTTGTTTCTTAGGAAAACTCTTCCTTTTGTTTCTTAGGAAAACTCTTCCTTTTGTTTCTTAGGAAAACTCTTCATTTAGTTTCTTAGGAAAACTCTTCCTTTTGTTTCTTAGGAAAACTCTTCCTTTTGTTTCTTAGGAAAACTCTTCCTTTTGTTTCTTAGGAAAACTCTTCCTTTTGTTTCTTAGGAAAAGTCTTCCTTTTGTTTCTTAGGAAAACTCTTCCTTTTGTTTCTTAGGAAAAGTCTTCCTTTTGTTTCTTAGGAAAAGTCTTCCTTTTGTTTCTTAGGAAAAGTCTTCCTTTTGTTTCTTAGGAAAAGTCTTCCTTTTGTTTCTTAGGAAAAGTCTTCCTTTTGTTTCTTAGGAAAACTCTTCCTTTTGTTTCTTAGGAAAACTCTTCCTTTTGTTTCTTAGGAAAACTCTTCCTTTTGTTTCTTAGGAAAACTCTTCCTTTTGTTTCTTAGGAAAACTCTTCCTTTTGTTTCTTAGGAAAAGTCTTCCTTTTGTTTCTTAGGAAAAGTCTTCCTTTTGTTTCTTAGGAAAACTCTTCCTTTTGTTTCTTAGGAAAACTCTTCATTTAGTTTCTTAGGAAAACTCTTCCTTTTGTTTCTTAGGAAAAGTCTTCCTTTTGTTTCTTAGGAAAAGTCTTCCTTTTGTTTCTTAGGAAAACTCTTCCTTTTGTTTCTTAGGAAAACTCTTCCTTTTGTTTCTTAGGAAAACTCTTCATTTAGTTTCTTAGGAAAACTCTTCCTTTTGTTTCTTAGGAAAACTCTTCCTTTTGTTTCTTAGGAAAACTCTTCCTTTTGTTTCTTAGGAAAACTCTTCATTTAGTTTCTTAGGAAAACTCTTCCTTTTGTTTCTTAGGAAAACTCTTCCTTTTGTTTCTTAGGAAAACTCTTCCTTTTGTTTCTTAGGAAAACTCTTCCTTTTGTTTCTTAGGAAAACTCTTCCTTTTGTTTCTTAGGAAAACTTTTCCTTTTGTTTCTTAGGAAAACTCTTCATTTAGTTTCTTAGGAAAACTCTTCCTTTTGTTTCTTAGGAAAACTCTTCATTTAGTTTCTTAGGAAAACTCTTCCTTTTGTTTCTTAGGAAAACTCTTCCTTTTGTTTCTTAGGAAAACTCTTCATTTTGTTCCTTTGACAAAAAATCATGAGCAGAAGTCACTTATTTTTGAATTTACTTTTAAATACATCTCAAAACATTAAAGGTTCATGTAAGGTACCATTTTTGGAAAGGGTATTTTATTGTAATTTTAATGGTTTAAAACATTAAAAGGGTAGGGTGCTTATGAAAATACTTATGAGTCATCAAATTATCAAAAAATATTTAAACTAGCGCTCAAAATTTAAACATTATAAGAAATGGGAAAGGTCCTAAGAATGAATTTATAGATATTCTATTACTTCATAAAATTCATTTTTTTAATACAAAAACAAACTTAGGAGGTAATATCGCATTACTGAAATAACCTTACATCAAAATGATGCTAAATATGATTTTCTTTTTTTATTTCAATTTATACGATTGAAGACATAAACACTTTTAGTCTGATGTTTATTGTACATATATAATTATTTTTTGACATAATTTCTTTATTTACAATTATAACATAACATAAACTATGATCAACATCATTATTATGTTCAAACTATGTATAGGTTAAAAATGGTTGTATGCTAGTTATATTAATTTAAAAATTCAGATTTAGCATTATTTTGCTTAACATTATTTCAATAATGCAATATTACTCTAATTTTTTTTTGCATTAAAAAAATGGTAATTTGGAGTAATTGAAAATCTTTAGTTTGAATTAGTTAGCATAATTAAATATGCTTTAGTTTAAATTAGTTAACATAATTAAATATGCTTTAGTTTGAATTAGTTAATTAAATATGCTATGTAATTCAAGCTAAAGCAAGTACTGCCACTATCAAAGGTGTAGCTGAGGACACAACTAATTTAGATTTTGAGCCATAAAAACTAGATCTACTGGTAAGAACTTAACAGGAGCATTCCACATCAACCCTTTTTAGGAAAAAAAATTATCTAATCTCAGAAATATAAAAAAAAAATTTAAAAAAAATTTTAAAGAGGTAACAAAAAAGTTCGCTCAAATCGTTTCCCCAGATCAGAGTAAATATTTCATCTCAAATGTTTTATAAAATTCTTTGGAAACAATGATATGGTAACTGAAGATTAAAAAAAAATTGGTTGAAACTTTCATAGAAGATCTTAAAAAAATTTCTGTTGAACATGATTATGTTAAAGTTTTTGCTTCAAATACAAGACTGAGTAGGAACAAGAAAGAACAATTACATAGATGTAACTATTTGTGTCAAAAAAGAAACTACGCAAAATAGACTAGATCGGAAAAAGAGCAGAATATATCCTTGATTTCATTTTAACAAGAGCCTTCTTCAAAATGTTGCATAATGAGTCATAAAAATTAAATTTGACTAAAATGGTTACCGTGGTAAAAATATCTTGTGCAGTTTTTCAAACAGTGTAATAGAATTTCATAATGAAGTTTGCAGATGCGAGAATTACTCTCTATTATTGGATAGCAGTTTGTAGCAAATACTTCATGCAATTATAACATTTAAAAAGATTTTTTTTGAAGATTTCTAGTTCAACCCCAATGTGAACTACCTTAATTCTCAATTTGTCCACTATTTGACTTACGTGATTTTAACAACAAACATTTGCAACAGATTTCAATAGCACCTCAAACATTGTCTTAAAGCATTATGCTGCCGGCAATTTATGTATGCCTAAAGCGAACATATTTTCATTAAGCAACTTTTTATCATTTTTAACTTTTAAATAATTCTATAAGTGGTAAAAAAAAAAAGCAATTAATTTTATAAAAAATCACTTTAACATTTGAATGATGAATATGTAAAAAAGTTTGTTACAAGTTTGAATTGCAATTTTGTAAGATATAAGCGCTATTTATTAATGAAAAAAATCAGATAAAATTAAAATACAGGGTGTCCCATAGAAAATTTCAAAATTGTAAAAGCTATAAAAAAAACAGCTTTATAGATTTTCAATAAAATTTGCTTCATTTGAAAGGTTGTTTCATGTTATTTATTTTTGGAAAATAATTTCATTCAAATGTCTACCACAACTGACTTGGCAGTACCCCATTCAATCAACCCAATTTTTTAGTACATTCTCAATTGTTTCCAGCCGAATTGCAACAATAGCAGCTTCAATTTCATTTTTAAAATTCCCAATCGTTTCTGAATGCTTGGTGTAACATAAAAAACAGTCTAACACTATCAGATCGCAGTTTCTTGCCAGCCAATTCACATCACCATTTTTGTTAATTATTCGATTTTCAAAGACAGTGCGCAGAAGATCGATTGTAACGTGGGCTGTATGACACGTAGCACTACCTTGTTGAAACCAAACATTGTGAAAGTCTTCGGCTTCAATTTGGTCAAAAAAAATAATTAGATAACATGGCACGATAGCACTCACCATTAACAGTTACTGTGACTCCTAGCTCATTTTCAAAGAAAAATAGGTCAATGATGCCGCCTGACCAAAAACCACACCAAACTGTCACTCATTGTAAATGCATTGGCTTCTACTCGATGACGTGCAAGTTTTTGCTTCCGCAAATGCAACAGTTTTGTTTATTAACATAACCATCGAGGTGGAAATGAGCTTCGTCTGAGATGATTTTTCGGTAAAATTCAGGGTCTTCTTCTAAACAATCTTGTGCCCATTTTGCAAAGCGTAAACCGCTGGGATGGTCAATTGGCTTTAGCTGATGCATTAATTGAACTTTGTATGCCTTCAAAGCAAGATCTTTGTGTAAAATTTGGTGCAAAGTTGATCGTAAAGGTTTAACTCTTGAGATCAATGGCGAATCGATGTTGATGGACATTCATGAACACTACCACTCACAGCAATATTTTTGGTTAATCTTGCTGGATGGACATTCCCGAACACTATCCCTCACAGCAATATTTTCAGTTAATCTTGCTGGAAATGGACGTTTACGTGTTGTTTTATCCACTAGTGAACTTGTTTAAAAGATGCTTCTTTAAGCTTGAAGCAAATATCATAATAAATATATAATTTAATTCTGATAAAAAATATATGATTCAATTTAAAACTAATTTAATACAAATATATAATTTTATTCTAATAAAAAAAAAATATATTTAATTTTGACTTAAAAAATTTATATTTAATTTTGACTTAAAAAATATATTTAAATTTAATAAAATTAAAGTTAATGCTTGGGTTTAACTGTCAAATTTATTTAAAAATATTACTAAATATTATTTAATTTTTAAAGTTTATTTATTCTTAAAAAAAAAAAATAGCTCAATTTTATCGCAATTATTTTTTCGATTTTTTTTCCTAAACTTTTTTTTTTTAGCTAAAAATTAAATTCCTTATAAATTTGCACAAAACCTAGAGCGAATATTTTCTAATAAATGATACAGCAATATAATTTTAATAATTGGTGCTTGGAAAAATTATCTTCGCTTTCACAAACAAAATTGCTGATAAAGTTATAAAGTTTTAACTTTAAATAAAGTAAATAAATAAATGCAGTTTTTTATTTGTTAATCTCTAATTTTTTTTTTAAATAAAATATCATTTTTATTTGTTAAGCCACATTTAGAAATTTAAGAAATCATAATTTAAAAAAATCTAACATATTTTAACTCATTTATACAAATGTTGAGAAAAGAAAAAGATTTCTCTATATCAAACATATTTTTAAATGTAATATTAAATTTAATTATTTAATATAAAAGAAAAAAATTAAAGAAAATAAACATTCCATAATTGCATTTCTACATTTATCTAACATTTATTTAACATGTTTTGTGGTAATTAATATATTGCAGTAGTTTAAAAAAGTTAATGTCTTAAAAATAAAAAAATATAGAGAATGTTATGACATCAAATTCACATTAGGCAAATGCATTAAGCATTTTTTAAATTTAAAACAAGGCCTAACACCTATTGATTTGATTTGTTATATTTGTAAAAATTTAAGCAAATCTTTAGTTGAATTAAAAATATTTGCATCAGATAATTTAGCTGACGAGGATACATTTTATGATATTGAAATAGCTGAAGAAGATATTATTGATTATAAAAAACATTTAATACGTTTTCTAATAAATAATTATCTTAAAAAAAATCATTACTTTTATTAGGTTGTTGATGGGTTTTGTAGTGAGTTGTATGAAATATAGTTCTGGAGTCAAGAATCATTATAAGTAACCAGCTTTTCCTGATGTTATAAAGTACAAAGTCAGTGAAATCATTTGTGAAATTCTACCATCATTTCCTTTAAAACAGCACAGAGACTGTTAAAGTTTGTAGAAATAAGAGTTTAAAAAAGCCCAAAATGAATTTAAGGCATAAAAAGATATGTAAACTGATTTATGATAATGGTGTAGATAAATTGTTTTGAAACTTCAGAAATGACTTTAAACTTAAATATGTTATTGTCAAATGAAATTGTTTTGCAAAAAATTGCATTGATTAGAGCCTGGGAACCAAAATACCCCAAACAAATCACCCGCTCCATAAAGATGATGATCAATCATATATATTTTTACTATTTAATACTAAATTTAAATTAGGCGACAGGTTTTAAATTTCATCTAATAATCATTTAGTATCCAAAACTTATTCATTTTTGGAAAGATGGAAACGTTACAAGATTATTACTAATACTAATGATTAATACTAAACATGATTACATGAATACTAATGATTAATACTAAACTGATTACTATTAATGATTAATACTAACATGATTAATACTAAAATATGAAATTATAATAAAAATAATAATAAAAATATTATTATCAAATTTTAAACCTGTCAATAAATTTAAATTTAGTAAAAGATGATAAAAAATATCTTATTAACTCAATGCCCTCACATCTGAGCTAGCTGGGGTATTCTTTTTGGGGCATCAAGAAGAATTCCTAATGGAGCTTAGTGATAAGGCTAATTTATGCCTTTTTGCTCCAGTTATTTATATACTTTTTTTATATTTGTGTGCATTATAAACATTTTTAAATGGTAAAATAAATTAAACTAACTACCACAATTTTTTGCAATCATTTGACATAAGCATTAACATACTTAAGTCTAGAGTTTGCATAATGCTTGAGATATTATCTAGGACACTGACTCTAAAATTATCTAGAACACTGACTCAAACAATGACCTATAAAGACAAAGAAAAATAATATATTGAGTAATTTTGCTTTTTCAAAAATAATTTACAAAAGGTTTAACATTTTGTAGTGAAAATATTTCAACAAACATTTTTTTTTTTTTTTTTTTTTTGCATTAAAAGAATGGAGTAAAATAAAGTTTATACAATCAATCTTGGGACCTTTCCCATTACTCATAATGGCTGATTTGAAAGCTAGTTAAAACATTTTTTAACAGTTTGATGACTCATAAGTATTTTTATAAGCAATAGCCCTTCAATTTTTTTAAACCAATAAAATTACAATGTAATACTCTTTCCAAAAATGATAAGATACCTTGCATGAAACTTTCATGTTTTGAGATAATTGAATTTAAAGTAGGCCCCAAATTCAAAAATGTATGATTTCAGCTTATGATTTTAACCTGGGGAAGAGTTTTCCTCAATTATTTTGATTATTTTTTGCAAAGTTTTACCTATACTTCCCTAAGATAAAAACTTAGGATTACAGTTATTAGATACAGTTGTCTCATTGCCTTAGTTATTTAATTAGTAAATTTAGTTAACCATAATTCAGGAACTACAAATATTTAAAAAAAATAACTTACACTATTTACTTTTTTACTTTAGCGTGATTGAAGGATATCACTTTTGAGCCGACAGCACTTTTGCCTGGCTTTCTTAGAAAATGGTTCTTAAGCTTCAAATCTTAGTGGCTCACTTGAACTCTCGAAAAATAAATAATAAGTAACAAAATGTAATAATAAATGAAAACAAATTATATAACATAATAGTAAAATTAAAAAAAAAAAAAAATCACAAGTGAAATTAAAAACAGTTTTTTTATTGAGAAAACTTTTATTAAATGTAATGTTGCAAAAGAAAATTTATGTATAACAAAAAAATTATAAAATTAAAAAAAAACATATTTTTTAATTTTTGTATATTATATTCTTAATGCATAAAAAACATTGCTTTAAAAAAATATATTCTTACATTCTTTTTCTTCTTTTAAACTTTTATCTTGTGGTTTTGTTTGGACACCATTTGAGACATCAGCTAATAATAATAAAAAATAGTAAACAAAATGCCATTATTACAATCACTAACTTGCAATATTATTTAATATCAAAATTATGGTCATTAAAAATGTCATTAAAAACATTAAAATTTTTTAATAGCATGTTAGAATATGCTTTATAAAAAACAAACTAGTAAATTGTCTAAAAAAACCAAACTTTACAGTTAAATATTTAATTATATATTGTATTTTGGCTTGATATTATGTAGTATACTGTTAAATATTTGTGTGAGTTCATATATTTATATTATATACTTTTAAATACTTTTTAAATGGTAATTTAGTTAAGTTTTAACACAGAAAGTTTTAGCATTTCAAAAGAAAACAATTTTGATAATTTTGATAATTTTTTTATTGTGATGTGGATTGCATATCAAAATTTACTTTAAAAGAGTAATTCTAAACTCAATGTCAATGATTGGTTAACAGAAATTTATTTTAAACATATATCAAGTCACATAAATTGTTTTTAATTAGTTGAAGCAATTTACCTACACAATATTTACACTTTACTAACAAAATATTTACAAAAACTTACAAATAAAAATACAAAATACTTGAATTTTGCCCTAAATAAAATAAGGAAAAAATTTTAAAAAGTTTTTTGAGTAAATCTAGTTTTTACTAGTTTTATTCTATTAAGTAATATGTTAATAAGCAATGTGCATTCAAAAATATTAAGAAACTTGTTTGTAAGCAATGTGTATTTCAAAAATAAGAAATTTTGATATGCAATGCATATTCAAAAATTATTAATAAACCTGTTCGTAAGCAATGCGCATACAAAAAATATTAAACAACTCATTCATAAGCAATGTGCATTCAAAGAAAAATAAATGAAAAAAAAAGCAAAACCGTTTTGATTATAATTAAATTTTGGTTTAAATAAAAAAAAAAAAAAAAAACAATTTTGATTATAATTAAATTTGGGTTTAAATAAAAAAAATAAACAATTAAAGATAATGGTTTAGAAATTTTGTTTCTTTTGCATTTATTGGAATTAAAACATTTTTGTGAAGTCTTTAAAATATTTAAAAAAATGAGATGGTATTTTTTTAGTATTCATCAGTATAACGAATTGGTGATTAGAAATTTGCACACGTCATTGCAATAGTGTCTACAATCAAAGTCATCTGGTTCCCCCTAATAATGGAATCATAAACTAAGTGTCAGAGAATTTTTTATCACTCCTTCTTGTACCTAACCCAAAATAATAAGTTATTTAAAACACTTCAAAAACAGTTTGTTAAAGCAAATATCAACAATAACAATTTTTCTGGATGTTACAATATCATACAATTATTCTTACACTCCTTTTCTTCTTTCAAACTTTCTTCTTGTAATCGTGCATGTTTACATGAAGAATATTCGAGATCATCATTTGATACATTAACTAATAAAACAGCAGTTTAATTATTAAACAAAAGTTGTTCAAAACTATTTAGTGTGTGCGTGCGTGTCAATATAAAATATTATAATTTGAAATATTTTTTATCATTATAAAGTAACAACTTTAATAATTCCACATTAAACACAAATTTTTAGAAGTTTCTCATATTTTTTATTTAAATTCTTGGACGAATGTATTTTACAAAGAAAAACTCACATAAAATTTTAGTTCAAAAAATGGAACAGTTTCCAAAATATCACAATTTTAATATTGACCTGGTTTTCATAATGACCTGGTATTCACAACATTTAAAAGTTTTTCCTTAATTCAATGAGAAATAACCTGAAGGAAAATATGAAAATTTAAAATACTTTTTTTATACAGAATTCAAAAAATTCAATAAGAACACTGAAATATGAAACACATTTGAAAATTAGGAAAACAACTAGTTTATATAACCCAACCATTATTTAAAAAACCTCTGTAAAATTTTTTCTAATGATCCACTTGAAATGTCTAAAACTATAGGTTGTCATCAGATGTTATACCCTAAAGTTAGTGGAGATATTTTATAAAAATATTGTAAACATTATTGCACAACCTATGTATTTTCACAACCAAGGGCTATATATATATATATATATATATATATATATATATATATATATATATATATATATATATATATATATATATATATATATATATATATATATATATATATATATATATATATATATATATATATATATATATATATATATATATATATATATGCTTAAGTTGCGTAATGTTTTTCTTAACTTTCTTTGATTTTGGAAGGACAATTTTTTTACACTTTTTTTGATAGAGGTTGGATAAGTTTCGTTAATATAATTAAGGGAAAATTCATTTTTTTTAATTTCTCCTTCGTTAATAACACCTCATAAATAAAATTTTGGACAAAATTTCAAAATTAATATTTTAAAAACTAATAAGTTTTATTATTTACAATTAAACTGTTAATATGTTAGAATATGTAGTTTATAAATATATAAAAATAACTATTTCAAATACCATATTTAGCAATATTATAATTTTATTTAAAGATGTTTTATTTTAGCAAGGAAAATTTTTTTATTCATCTTTCAATAGCAATATCTAATTCTTGCTTCAAGCTCGTCCAAATTCTCAGCTTTCCTATTATTCTCGTACACTAGCCGTTTTAAAACTTAACTCTTTCCCCGCGCAGCGGCCTTGTTAATCAAGGTTCGTGTTTCGGAGTTATAGAATTGAGAGAGGGTTATAACCACAAATAAGTAGCCTCCTCGTCTGTAGGGGCCTTCGGCCTTGAGGAGGTGAATTAAAATAAAAAATTAAAAAAAAAAAAAAATCACCTCAAAAGTTTTCAATTGGTCTTGCTTCTGGAAAGTTACCTGGGTTTAATCTTTGGGTACAACTTTGATTTTTTCCAATTTTAAAAAGTCGATGACCAACTTTGCATAATGTGATCGAGCTAGATCAGGCCAGAAGATAAACTCATTGTCTTTTTAATAATATTCTGATACTAGAGGAAGTAAAGTTTTTTCTTGTATCTCTATATAAGTGTACTGGTTGATTGCCTGCTTACTGTGATGAATATAAAGATGGCTTATTTCACGGGGGCTGATGCAACAAGAAACTAAGAACTTGTTCTCGTACTTTTTACGCAAATTGTATCTTACTTCGTCAGAACATTGAGAAGGATCAGCAGCATAAAACCTCATTACCAGCTAATATGCTATTGTTTAAGGTAAAATAGCTTTCATCATCTATAACAAAATCCAAGTTTTTATAATTTTTGTACAATTTATGACATTTAGGATGCATAGCTTTCTTCTGCTGATGGTTACGATCTGGACGATTTGTTGTTTTGAAAGTTCGAATGTTAGTCATTGTTTTTAATACTTGGGAAATTCGAATTTGACTACAGTTAAAAACTTGAGCTACTTTCTTTTGGAAGCACCCTGACTTGTTTTCAAAAAATGCAGCAATCTTTGGAATATTTTCTTTAGTAGCTACCTTAGCAATTTGACCACTTCCAACTTTTCTTTTTAGATATCCATTCTCCAACTTTATGATTTTATCGTAAGCAGTTGATCTGGGTAAACCCCATTCCATAAACTGCTTAGCAACAAACACTTTACCTTTTTCTCTATTTTTTTGGAAAAAAATTTCCATCATTTTTTTTTGAGATCCTTTACTTTGACCATTTTATTTTCAATATTTAAATAATATTTTTAACTTAATTAAATTAAATTTAAATAGATTATAAAGTCCTCTTTCTAATAAGTATAAAAGTTTTTTGCGTGCATGAAATAAATTACGTAATAAATGCAATTAAAATTTGTCCGAAATTTTTATTTATAGGGTGTTATAAGAAAGGAAAAATTTAAAAAAAAATAATTTGAAACAGCTCTAAAAAAAAATCAAATATTTTATGATAATTTAATATTGCAATAAAACTTTAAAAGTATTTAGTATAAAAAACATTTCATTAGAAAGTTTACAAAGCATTATAAAAAATAACTTTGTTAAGTCTTCTGACTATTAAATTTATGTTTTCAACTAAAAGTTTATTGAAACAATCATTTTCATTGTTGTTTATAAATTTAATTGTACAAATTGTTTTAAAAACATTTACATTTGTTGTAAAAAATACAGTTTTTAACTATATGTTTTTCGATAGCTTAAAGAAAATGTTTTTTATAGAACACAATCATTAAAAACAATTTCTCACTTAATTACTTTATTTCAGCGCATTTTTTTAAAAACTAAGAAGTCGTGGTCAAGTTGCAGCAAAAAGAAATTAAATGAATAGGAATAGCGTGTGATCACACGTCTTTCCTGTCCAAGACTAGTTTCTCAATGATTTTTTTTTTAAATGGTACATGTGGTATGTCTAAATGTTGGTACATATGTGTAAAAACATAGGTAATTGAGATCAGGAAAATAAAGTCTGGACATATTTGGTCTTTGGAAGTGGTCATAACCGTACAGGCGTTCATTTTAGGGGTAGTCAAGGGTGGTCCTAGGATATCCCAATCAAGTTTTTCTTTATTTTTATTTATTTTATGTACTTAATTTCTTTGATATTGTGAATATAAACACATAAAATTTAATAAAATTGAACTTTATTATAAGAATCTAGGTAATATTATATTATAAGAATCTAGATGATGACATACATTATATATACAATATTATAGGAATATAATATTATAAGAATCTAAGTGAAGATATAATACTATAAGAATCTAAAGTGTATAAAATATTATAATATTAAGTTGTATGAAAAACTCAATCACACATTATAAACACATATAGATAACATACAAATCTATATCAACTAATATCAACATTTCAACCACATATGTACATTACTTAATTTGTTATATATATGTATAAAATGATTATAATATTAGGGTGTATGAAATGACTATTTTTCTCAAGTAACTTATTGTTTTTGCTTTTTTTTTGGCGTTATTTAAATGAACAAAATTGACCCATTTAAGGTACAATTTTCTAGATAAAAATGGCATTTTAAAAAAGTAAAACCGTTCTTTATGAGTCTTCTTCAGTTTTTTAAAGCAAAATCTATGATTAGATATCATTTATAACAAAAAGTTTAGCACCAACTGAGCTCAAAAACTTTGGTTGTAAATTTTTAACTATATATGAGAGTGTAATTTAAAGTTGATCCACGTGCAGCCTAGTGCAGTCTAATGCTTTTCTGCTTGTGTAAAGGCAAGTGTTTAAAAAAAGGTTGTGGGTTTTAAGGGGTTTTATTAAAAAACAGCAAGCATAAAAAATAAAATTTCATATTTCTTCTTATTATTCCAATATATGATGCCGATGGATTAATATATACACCATTGAAAAATTAAAATGTTGTAAAATTGTCTTTCTGATTTCATATTTCTTTTTCTGATTTGATTTTTTTTTTGATTCCTGATCTGATTTTTTTTTTGATTCCTGATCTGATTATTTTTTTTTTAACAATATTTGAAAAGAAAAGTATTGCCATTTTTGTGGTAAAGTTAACATACCGAGCTCAAAAATGATAGTAGGGAAAAAATGATACAGGTTTTAGAGTTCTGGGGGTCTCTAAATTACATCTATAAAAATAAATTACTTCAGTTTAAAGTTGGTTTTGAGTAGTTTTGCTCACCTCTAGGCAACTGTAAAAGCTTACTCTAAAAAATTATTACTTGGATGCTTCTTATAATTTGGTAAAATGTATTTGTATCAATATCTCTCATTATATATATTCCCTTTTCAAGTAATTTTTTCACTACTTATTTTAGGTTGGATGGGAAAGAAGGGGAGGGGGAGGGGGATACACACCACTCACCCACAATTCAATTTTACTAACACCAATATGGTTTTCGCAACAAACATTCAACAACTCATTCATTAATAGAAATAACAGAGAAAGTTAGACAAGCCATTAATAAACACTTTGTGTGTGGAGTGTTTATTGACATAAATAAAGCATTTCATACAGTTAAGCACAAAATCCTCCTTGAAAAACTGCATTACGGTATTAGAGGATTCCTTTTCTCTGGTATTTCTCTTACCTTTGTAATAGAACACAATTTGTTTCAATTAATGGTATCAACTCAGAACTAGCTAAACCTTTTAACTATGTTCCACAAGACTCAGTTTTAGAACTGTTACTTTTTCTTATTTTCAAAAATGATTTAAATGTTTCACTTAATTTTTCTTTTAGTTTAGTTGTAAATATAATAAAATAGTATCACTTGCTTCTAATTAACAAACCACTTAAAAAACAAAAATATTGGGACAATCTAAGCAGCTTAGGGACATGTTAGGGGACAGCAACTTAGGGACATGTTAGGGGACAATCTGAGCAGCTTAGGGACATGTAAGGGAACAATCTAAGCAGCTTGCAAAACTAACTCATCTCCAAAATAAAGCGCTAAAGTTATTTCTAACATACTAAATTAAATTGTAGCATATTT